TGGGGAGCTGGAGGCAGCTCACAGGAGTGGGCCTCCCATGCGATTGGTAAAGAAAGTGTCTGCCTCCATTTGTGCTGCTACAAGAGAATACCTGAGGCTGACTCATTTATAAGGAACAGAAGTTTATTGGCTCACAGTTCTGGAGATCGGAAAGTCCAAGGTTCAGGAACTGGCAGACTTGGGAATTCTGCCTCCAAGATGGTGCTTTGAACACTGGAGGGCAAGAGAGACACAAGTGGGCTAAACTCACCCTTTCATAACATTAACTCCACCCTTGAGAGTGGAGCCCTCACAGCCCAATCACCTCTTACAGGCCTCATCTCTTAACACTGTTAGAATGGCAATTCAATTTCAACATGAAGTTGGCACAGTGCCTCACGCCCAAATCCCAGCTACTTGCGGACAGGAGTTGAAGACTAGCATTTAAAAACAAAAAATTTTAAAAATTAGCATGCCCCTGTGGTCCCAGCTACTCGGGAGGTGGAGGTGGGAAGATCACCTGAGCCCAGAAATTCAAGACCAGCCTGGGCAATATAGTGAGACCCCCATTTCTACAAAAAGTTAAAAAAAGAAAAGAAAAAATTAGTCGAGTGTGATGACTCACACTTGTAGTTCCTGCTACTCACGAGGCTGAGGCAGAAGGATCACCTGAGCCCAGGAGGTTGAGGCTGTAGTGAGCCTGTAGTGTGTTTATGCCACTCCACTTCAGCCTGGGCAAGAGTGAGACCCTGTCTCAAAAAAAACACAAAAAAACAAAAAAAACCTCCCAACTACAATTGTGAGTTTGTTTGTTTCTCCTTGAAGGACTGGCTTTTAAATTCCATGGTCTTCCCTCTATAGTTTGGAAGATAAATTTCCATTCTTTTAGAGATTATCTGAAAACTTTGATAAGCCTAGTAACAGATGCTAAAGTCAGTGTCCATGCCCTCCTTCCAACCAGGGGGAGGACTATAGAACACTGTAGGTTTGCGCACCTCTCTCCCAACTCACATGTGGCATCTTTTTTATAAACTCCAAAAGTAGGCATTCTAAGTCGAAGCTTCTAGATGTGGTGTTTTAGACATGCCCACAAATCCACCCTCCTGCCTATTCATTCCTTCTTCCATCACCAGCTTCCCCACAGGATCCCTTGCCAGAAGCCCAGACATGCCTTAGACGCTTTAGGCTCTGCCGGCAGCGAACTCAGGAGTGAGGATGGTTTCCTGGTATGAAAATGCCTTTTTTTTTCTTTTTTGAGACAGAGTCTCATTCTATTGCCCAGACTGGAGTGCAATGGCACAATCTTGGCTCACTGCAACCTCTGCCTCCTGGGTTCAAGTGATTCTCCTGCCTCAGCCTCCCGAGTAGCTGGGATTACAGACATATGCCACCATGCCCAGCTAATTTTTGTATTTTTAGTAGAGGCAGGGTTTCACCATGTTGGTCAGGCTGGTCTTGAACTCCAGACCTCAGGTGATCCACCTGCCTCAGCCTCCCGAAGTGCTGGGAATACAGACATGAGCCACTGTGTCTGGCCCCTCATTCTTGAAAGATGTATTTTTCTGGGTACACAATTCTAGGCTATCACTATTTTCTCCCAGGACTTTGAAGATATTATTTACTTTCTTTCTGGCTTCCACTGTTGCTTTCAATAAACCACTTATTTTCTTCTTTCCAGATAATCTCTTTCTTTTCTGCCTTCTTTCAAGATCTCTTTGTCATGAGGTTCTGTACTTTCACCAAGACATGACTATTTGGTAGAGCTTCTTAACTATGCTGCTTGGGAGCCACTGGATTCCTGAACCTAAGGAGCAGGGGCTCCTATCAGTTTGGGAAAGTTCTCAGCCGTATTTCTCTGAATACTTGCCTCCACCCCATATTCTCTTTCCCCTCCTTCTGAAATTACTCGTAAATTGCAGATGCCATACTAAATTCTCCGTCTTCTTGTCTCTTATCCCATCTTATATTTTCCAGCTGCACTTTGGGGTCATTTCTTCAAACAGTTCCCAACTCTTCAGGAAACACACCATGGATTATTTTTTAGAATATTCTATTTTTATTTCAACAAGTTCTCTTTTTAATCTGCTTGGTCATTTTTATAGTCTCTTGCTTCCTGTGCATAAATTGTTTTATTTAAATATATTAAACATCCTCATTCCATGTGATGTGTCTGCTTACTCTAGGATCAGAATATTGGTGTGTGTGCTTCTGTATGTCTTTCTGCTGGGCCTTGTTTATGGTACTGTGTGTGTGTGTTTACAATTTCTTTCCTGTACCTTAGGATGTTTTGATATCTTAAAAAAAACAAAAAACAAAAAAACAAAAACAAAAACAAAACTTCCTGTTTTATGGCAGTCTCATTTAAAAAAAAAAAAAAAAAATTCCACCTTCTGGCTGGGAGACTGCCCCTCCCAGACCAGCCAATCCTTACAGATAAGGGCCCAGCTGGGTGCAGCCTCTGTGATGCAACCTCATCAGTCCAGAGCCCACCTCTATCTAGCCAGAGCACTCAGGCAGCCAAGGACCACTCCTACAGTTTGGAGCCCATGGAAATCACTCCAGCTCGCCAGCCACACACCTGCCCTACCTTGCCTTTCCTGGGGAAGCGCCAGGAAAGGTCTGGCAGAATCTCTCCTGGGCTCCTGCCTCTCCTCTCAGGCTGCACTTTACTGACTGTCTCATACAAGAACACAGAACAGGGAGCTTGTCTCCTTGGGGATTAGAAGATGATGATGATGATGATTTTACAATGAACGTATACTTCTTAGGATGTTTTCTATCAAAGGCCTGATTTGGAGGTGGGTTTCTCACAGTTTCTACACTGTCTGCTGGGCTCTGGAAATACTACCAACTGCAACTTCTCTTCTTTTTTATTTTTCTTTGTTTTAAGACAGGGTCTTGCTCTGTTGCCCAGGCTGGAGCGCAGTGGCACAATCACAGCTCACTGCAGCCTCAACCTCCTGGGCTCCACCATGCCTGGCTAACTTTTTTTTTTTTTTTAAGAGACAGTGTCTTGATATGTTGCCCAGGCTGCTCTCAAACTCCTGGGCTCAAGCAATCCTCCTGCCTCAGCCTCCCAAAGATCACAGGCATAAGCCACCATACCCAACCTTACCTGGCTTTGAAAGGAAAATATAAGCATGCTTTCTTAAAGATGCACTATACACTGTGTTAAGTAAAACAACTCAGAAACAGAGAGTCAAACACCACACATCCTGACTCATAAGCAGGAGCTGCCCAACAGGCAATGTGAGCTCAGAAAGTGGAAGGCAGAAGGCGGACATGAGGGACTCTAATGAGGGGTGGCAGGAGAGGTGAAGGTAAGAAGCCCAGACCGCACCACCATGCACTATACCCACATAACACAACTGTAGCTTATGCCTTGAATTCACACACACACACACACACACACACTAACTTCCTATGTTTTTACAACATAAACTAAAGCAGACAGAAGAGCAGTGTGCAGTTTTGGAGCGGCTGCACCAGCTCTCAGCAGACCCCAGTGCTCCGGAACGCAAAGCTCTGACCCTGCTGATGCGCTTTAGGGCCTGCTTCCAAGGTCTTAAAGGCCAGGCCTTTCTGAGAGGACTAAGGACATTTTGGTGAAAACTGATTTGGTTTGTATGACAGAAGGGCTCTTTTGTTGACTGATACTTTCCTTTTTAAAGACACAGAAAAGGCTGGGCACAGTGGCTCACGCCTGTAATCGAGACCATCCTGGCCAACATAGTGAAACCCTGTCGCTACTAAAAATACAAAAATTAGCCAGGCATGGGGCATGTGCCTGTAGTCCCAGCTACCCAGGAGGCTGAGGCAGGAAAATCACTGGAACCTGGGAGGCAGAGCTTGCAGTGAGTCGAGATTGTGCCACTGCACTCCAGCCTGGGCAACAGAGCAAGACTCCATCTCAAAAAAAAAAAAAAAAAAAAGGACACAGAAGAACACGGAATGTGTTTGATATGAACCAAGTATTTTGAGATCCTGACACCTGCAGAGACCTGAAGACACTGAGGGGGCACAGGATGGCTCAGGCAGCACCTCACTCTGGAGTGGCGTGCTTCCTTCCTGGCTCACCACCTGGCCACACCCACGGGACAGGCTAGGATGCTCCCAGATGCTGCAGCACTCAAGGAGGTCCTGCTGGGAACGCCAGGCAACCTCAGGCAGATGAGGGAGCCAGGGCACTTTGGGCTCGAGGCACAGACCCTCATTCCAGGGGTGCATGCCCCTCATGCAGGAGACACCAACTCTTGGTGACACGGGCCACAGGCATCCACTCCTGGCTGAGCTGGAGAGAAAACTGGCCGGGAAGCTGATCAAATGTCTCCATGCCAGTTTAAAGCAGCAGCCGGTGGAGCTGGAAAGGTTGCAGGGATGCTGGTCTGCAATCCATCCTGCACTGGGGACTTCCAGAGCATGACCTGTCCAAGAGGGGCTGAAGGCCACCGGCTCTCAGGACCCCAAGGGGTCAGGGCCACCTAGTTGTTTCCTTGCCCACAGGAGAGCTTACCGCAGCAGGTGGGACTGGACAGCTCTCCTCTTCCCTCCAGCTGCAGCCACTTCCTCCCATGCATCCACTCTACACCCTTCTCCGTGGTGATGGCAAACTACACAGCAGCTCAGAGCTGCCTTTAGACCCCTGGCCCTGAAACTGCCATGGCTGAAGGTTTCTAGAGAGCACCTGTGGCCCCCCAGGATGGCTGCACAGGCTCCCTGCCTGCTTGGCCCTCCGTGACCACCCTAAGGTCCAGCTTGGTGGCCCAAATGCCTGCCCCCCAGGCCCTGTGCCCTGCAGCCAACAGCTCACAGCCATGGGGCTGTCCTTTGCAGACTCGGCACCCACATGCCCAGCCTGGGCCTCTGAGGCCTCCCCTGCTGGCCTGCAGCCATGCCAAGTGCTTCATCTGGTAGGTCTAGGCATTCTCAAGGGACAGCTGTTCCCAGGGTCATCAGCCAGATCCCAGAAACTAAGTCCCCGCCTCCCTCTCCCCCAAATGAAACCAGAGCTCCCAAGGGGCTGCTTGTGGCTCACTCTTTAATAAATGCCCTGAAACATGGAGCTCACACTTCAGTGGGAAGGGGGAAGCCAGTGGGTGAACAGGAGGCTGCACTCCACGACTGACAGCAAGTCACTCTCACTGCAAACACAGGCAGTGCCAAAACCCAGCACACACATGCAGAACTCTGCCCTGCTGGCTCTTGAGCCCTGCGCTGGCCCCACCCCACGCTCCTGGAGGGCTCTGAGGAGGAACAGAGGTGGGGAAACATGGACAATGGGCACAGCCTCCCACAAGCCTCCAGCATGGGATACCTGGTGGCTCAGCCCTGTGTGCTCCTCCATGCACAGAAACATACATGCCACCTGATCCAATGTCCCAGACCCCTCTAGACCACGCACAACCCCACCCTGAGACATGCTGGAAACAAGCACGGTGAAACAACTCCCAAAGCCCGAGACCCAGCCTGCAGACCCTGGACACCGCCCAGCTTCCAGGCACAGGGACCAACCCCCCATGAGGCTCATGCCGGGCAGAGTGGGGTGCAAGGCACAGAAGCTGCCAGTGCTGGCCACAGACACTGTCCCATCCTCCCAGACAACCCTGTGTGGAGCCACAATTGGGGCCCAGCGCCACCTGGAGCTCAGCACTCACACAGTGGGCTCCTCTGGGGCCACAGGAAGCCCAGCGAGAAAACAACCCACGTGCCTGGGGCCCTTGAGCATGGGCGGGGCCAGGCAGGGCACCTACAAGGGGGACTTTCCCAGATGGGAACCAGGGCTCCCATCCAGTAAGCACAGCAGACAGATGGAATGGGAAGACCCCCGACAGAGGACAGAGGCCCCAGGCCCCAGCCTCCCCATCAGCCTGCACCAGCCAAGGCTTCGGGCTACTTGGAGACTGTAGGCCACCAGTCTGGCACAGATGCGGCTAAGGCCACCTGAGCACCCTCAGAGGCTCTGATGTGCAGAGGACCCTTGATCTTCTCTGACCACAGCAGGGCCAGCCCCACGTTGCCCTGGCCGGCCCTGAACTTGCCCACAGTCTGTCCTGACGCAGTCAGCACCGTGGCACCGGGGGTGATGCCACTGGCAGGAACGGGGTCCAAGAACCTGACAGGGAAGAGGCGCTTGCGGATGACGCCCATGTGGTGGGTGCGGGCTGTCAGCTCCTGGCCGATGTAGCAGCCTTTGGTGAAGCTCACGCCGTTCATGAAGGCCAGGTTGGACTCCAGCGGCAAGGCCACCCCAGGAGGCAAGTCTCCGACCCCCTCAGGAACGCCTGCAGGGATCGGAGGAGGGAAACCAGCGAGAACTGAACATCGTCTAGCCCCACCTGTGCAATCCAGTCCTGCGCGCCCACCCTGCCCATACCTTGCAGGTATCGGTGCTGGTGATAATCCCACAGGTCCCCGAGCCGGCCCCCCGACACCAGGGCTGGGCCTTCGTCCTGGGTGAGGAGCCGCCACCCCATGCGTGCTGTTCGCGGGTCGCGGATGAGGATGGCAGCAGCCCCTGCACTCTCCTGCAACGGTGCATTCCCGCAGGCCTCAGGGGAACTGGGCAACACCGCCCACACTCGCAGCTCCGGGTGCGGCTCCACCGTGACCTTCCGCCGGATCCTGTACAGCGCGAGGTGCTTCTGCAGTGCGCCCTGCACGGAGCTGTCACACTCCAGGAGAAAGCCAGACACCTCCTCCGAGTGTTCCTGGAGCCTGCAGGGAGAGAGGCAGGGGTGCATGCCAGCTCACCAAGTGCGTGGGCCAGAAAGGGCTGCATGACGGAGCTAGCCTTACCCGGGCAGAGGAGTACACCGTGGACCAACGCAAGGAGCCCTGCCCTCAGCCACAAGGGACTGCACCTTCAAGGCAAGCGCCTGGGTCACCACAAGCAGGGAGCCACGCCCACAGCGAGCCACGCCCATAGCCACACCCCGCAGCACCTCCCAAGGTGCGCATCACAGCTAGATGTGAGCACCATGGAGAACAGCGCAGAGTGCCGTTCCCACAGCAATGCCAGGATACGTGCAGACAATGCACATCAGGCCAGGCAGGGCACACCTGGACCAGCGCATGGAGAGCCCTGCCCACAGCCGCGCGGAGCTGCGCCTCCAGAGCTCTCCTCTAAGCAGGCAGAGACGAGCTCACAGGGGCTAGCGCAGACAGACCCTGTTTGCCCAGGGACTGGCAGAACTACAATAGCCTGCCCAAGGGCATCGTCTGGAGTAGTCCCAGAGCCTAGGGAAGAAATGACAACAGTCCACTGGATGCGGGAGCAGGGACGGGCAGGGCCCCACAGAGGAACGGTATGCACAGCCACTGAGAACCAGACCTGCCTGTTCCAGCCCAGGGAAGCCATCGAGGAGCCCGAGGGTCCTAAGGTGGGCAGGAGGGAGGAGCGAGGAGCCCAGGAGGAGGTCAGGGAGGTACAACATGCCTGAGGACCACTCTGCCTATGTCCACCACCTGCCTCCCCAAGTCAAGTCTCAGAACCCAACCCCATAGCCATTCTGACCTGCACTCCAGGCAGGCAGCCCTCCTCAGAGGATTTGGGCAGGCACCACACGAATGACCCCTGACCAGATGGATGGTGGGGAGAGGAGAGGCCCGGGCAGTGTGGGGCATGTCAGGTGGGGGGCACTAAGTGGAGATACCTTGGGTGCAGCCACCTCCATGGCTAGGGTTGATTGCAGGTGTGGACTGCACAAGGCTTCACAGACCGGTGAGAGCTGAGACAGGGAGGTAATAAGACCCCCAGAGGGCCTGCCAGAGAGGAGCCCACAAGCTGGTGGCCCAGCCCCTTCCAGCCAGAAGAGGGCTCAGTCCTTGCCAGCCGCCCAGAGCTTCAGGTGCCAAGTGGGGGCCTGCTGCCCTCATCTCTGCAGTCTCACTCTACCCTGCGGTCATGCCCACGTGCCAGCAGCCACAGAGAATGTTCACACTCATCACCCAGAACCAGTGGGCACAGGTCTCACTGAGGACCCTGATGCAGGGAGGGTGGGCATAGCCAGCTGTGACAGCCAGTGGAGCTGGCCCGCCCTCCAAGACAGTGGTCACAGGACATCAAAAACAGCACTGGCAAGGGAGGGGAACATACGTCATTTACACATGTGGGGCTAAGATGATGGGAGGAACAGCAAGGACAGCACAGAGGGGCAGCCGCAGGTGTGGTGCGAAAAGGTCACCACGCCACCAGGGAAACACAGGCAATGTGTCCCAGACAGACGCAGTGGCAAACCCAAACACTGGCCAGCACGAGGAGAAACCAGGTCACTGGCATGCTGCTGGTGTGGAGGCAAAACGGGCGTCCCTCTGGAAGACAGGGTGCAAGTCCTCACAATATCAAACAAGCAACTACCCTGTGACCTGGCTCTCTCACTTCTGGGCATGGATCACTGAGAAATGAACACTGCAGTTCACACAAAACCTGCTGCAGCGAAAGCTCACAGCAGCCAGCTCTACTAGTAATGGCCAAAAGGGGAGAATCAAGGTGCCACCACACGACAGGGGACTTCTCAGCAAGAACAGGGAGCCGGAGATGGACAGAAGTGGGTAGATCTGAGGGCACTATGGTGAGGGAAAAGGGTAAGGCCAAAAAATAACATGCCGGTGCATCCATCTATGACACTCCTGAAATGACACAATTTTACAGCTGGAGAACAGGTTTCGGGGTGTTGGGGGTGCCCATTCAGGGGCAGGAGCAGGAAGCCGCATGGGCCTGATCATGGCCACAGGTATTTGCACATTAGAAAATTGCAGTTATACACATGCATGCACACACGCACAAAGTAAGACACACAAATCCAGAGACCCCAGATGTGCCCTGTGTGTGCAATCAGGGGAACTGGGGAGGGGTCTATGCGATCTCCTCCCACAGGTTTTTTTTTTTTTTTTTTTTTTCAACTTCCTACGAATCTATAATTATTTCAAATAAGAAGTGGGGAAAAAAACCAAAAAAAACAAAAAAAACAAGGAGCTTCCCCTGCAGAGGTGTCCGAGCACTACAAGAGGGAAGGCAGCAGGCAATCCTTTCATCCCAGCCATCTGACATCAGCAAGTTTTTAACTACATGCATACGTATTTGTATTTTTAAAGTCTACATTAGGGTCAGCAGACAAAGATGGACTAAAACACAGGAGAGCAGGGGACGCGGGCGGAGGGACAGATGTGAGGTCATGGGCACAGGGTGCTGGGCACTGGACAGGCAGGGAGGAGCTGAGCAGCGCCAGGCAGAGTAGAGGGACAAAGTAAGGGGACTAGAGTGGAGCTGAGGGATCGCAGGTCCAGGGTCTAGTAAGCCAGGCACACAGGCACAGGGGAGGCCGCAGAGTCCTACAGGGCAAGGGCAGGAGCTGGGGCAGGACAGGCAGGGTGGGGCCAGGGTGCCCCATGGGTCCATCAGTCGAGAGTGGAGCCCAGAGAAGATTAAGCTGAGGGCCCCTGCACTCTGAGGTGGGGCTGGCTCAGCTGCCTGCCTTGGCTGGAACCCCCACCCATGCTGAAATCCCCTGCTGCCCCCATCTGCTGAGCACTCCCTGGCCTCCCACAGGGTGGATGTCCTCACAGGACCCAGGTTCTGGGGTCAAGGGCACTTTCCAGACCTCTGTGCCGGTGACTGTCTACCAAGCAGCTTCTCAGGACCAGCTGAGCTGGGACGTGACCCCCAGGCCCACCCCAACCCCTGCCACACCGGAAGACTGCCAGGAGACTAGCCGCAAAGGAGAGCGCTGGCCTGGGGAGCTTTCTCAGCCTCATCATTCTCCATGGTGGGGGCTGTCCAGATGCTGAGCAGCACCCCTTGCCTGTACCCCATCCCATCATAACCAAAAATATTTCCAGATACCGCTGAGGGGCGCAGGGGACAGGGTTGCCAGAGAAAATACAGGGCACCTGGTTAAATCAGAATTTCACATCAACAACCAATGACTTTTTTTAGTGTACCCCAAATACCGCACAGGATGTACGTACAAATCATCCATTGCTCGTCTGAGATGGACCTGGGTGTCCTGTGCTTTTGTCTGCTGAGCCCAGAAGCCCCGGTGGGAGTAAGGGTGCAGGAAGTAGAGGGAGGTCAGGGGTGGCTCTGGCCCAGCCAACTGAGAGAAAGGGTCCCCTGGCCATCAGACCCAAGGGTTTCCGGTCATGTTCAGGAAAACACTGCCCTGGGGCCTGGCCTGACTCCTTCCCTTCTCTCTCCTTCCTCCTTCCCAGGCCACCAGAGGCCTGACAAGTCTCTCCTGCCCCTCAGTGCTGGACAGACACAAGGCCACAGCCCTGACACTCTTGGGCCTGCTGAGCCCTGCACTGAGTCCACATCCTTGCCCCGGCCAGATCACAGCAAGGCCACTGGACCACAATCCTACCTGCGACATGACCCTACAGCCTCTCTCTGCCTCCTACATGAAGAGAGATCAAAACCAACTGACAGAAAAGGACCCCAAGGAGGCCAGGCATGGTGGCTCATGCCTGCAATCCCAATACTTTGCAAAGCTGAGGCAGGAGACTCGCCTGAGCCCAGGAGTTCAAGACCAGCCTGAGCAACATAGTGAGATCTCAACTACCTGTAGTACTGGCTACTTGGGAGGCTGAGGTGGGAGGATCAGTTCAGCCCAGAAGTTTGAAGGTACAGTGAGCTACAACTGTACCACTGCACTCCAGCCTGGGTGACAAAGCAAGGCTCCATCTCAAAAAAAAAAAAAAAAAAAAAAAAAGGCCGGCACGGTGGCTCAAGCCTGTAATCCCAACACTTTGGGAGGCCAAGACAGGCAGATCACAAGGTCAGGAGATTGAGACCATCCTGGCTAACACAGTGAAACCCCGTTTCTAATTAAAAAATACAAAAAACTAGCCGGGCGTGGTGGCGGGCGCCTGTAGTCCCAGCTACTCAGGAGGTTGAGGCAGGAGAATGGCGTAAACCTAGGAGGCGGAGCTTGCAGTGAGCTGAGATGTGGCCACTGCACTCCAGCCTGGGCGACAGAGCAAGAGTCCATCTTAAAAAAAAAAAAAAAAAAAAAATTAGCTGTCAAGCTATGAAAAAACATGGAGGAATCTAAACGCATTATCACTAAGTGAAGGACGCCAATGTGAAGAGGCTACAGATGCATGAGTCCAACTACAGGACATTCTGGAAAGCGTGAAACTATGGAGACACTAAAAACATCAGTAGTGGCCAGGAGTTATGGGAGATGGATGGATGGGCAGGGCACAGAGGATTTCAGGGCAGTGACACTACTGTATGTGATGCTACAATGGTGGACATGTGCCATCATACATTTGCCTAACTCATGAACGCATCAAGCCAAGAGTGACCCTCATGAAAACTATGCACTCCAAGTGATGATGGTACGTCAACAGAGGTTCATCAATTGTGGCGAAAGCAGCACTTCGGTGGGGGATGTTGATGATAGGGGAAGCTGTGGGGTAATATGGGAAATCTCTGCACATTCTGCTCTTTTGCTAAGAACCTAAAACTGCTATAAAAAGCAACTCCCATTAAAAGACAACAACCAAAAAACTATAGCTTCATCTGAAAGAAGGCACTACATCCAGGAAACAAGAATAGGGGGCTTTAAGGAAGTAATGGCTCAGGATGATATATTAGCAAGTATCAGAGTTGAAATAAAAAATCTTACAGTCAGAAAAAAACCCACAGAGGAATGATGGGCAGGGAATGATCAGAGAAGCAGGAACACACAGAGGCTTCCAGCGAGAGGTGGCCCCTGACCTGTAGGCTGCCCTCTCCCCAGAGGAGTGACCAGAGAGGGCAAACCACAGAGAGAGAGGTCAACAGCCAACAGCAGCCCAACAAGGAAAAGAGTGTAACCTCATGAACTGAACTAAACGTGCCCAATGAGCACAGCCCTAAGCCCACCCATGCCACAGAGCTGGGAGGGGTGGCATCTGGACACCTGTCGCCCACCACCCCTGGGGAGCCAATTGAGGAGGTGACCTTGTCGTGTCCTTCTTCTGATGGCTGAGGAGAAACAGGGCCATGAATTCCAACAGAACTGAAGCTAGAGGGTTTCAAGTATTATTACACGGATGCTGAATCCCATGGAGGATGGTCCTGCCCCACCCAACCCCTCAGAGTGGAGCTCCCTGGCCTGTGACTTTGTGTCACATCTCAGAAGCGAGACCAGAGGTGGATGATATCACCCTTCAGTGCTGAGCTGGGGAAGAACAGAGCCACCTCCAGTACCCTCAGCACTCAGAACAGTGGCGGACACACCAGACACCCAGCACAAGCGAAGAAAATTAACTCCTCCTGCAGACCTCGAGGACAGAGACCCTACGATGAGAGCAAATAGAAAGCCACAGAAGAGCCACCAAGCATATGCTTGATAAGGGGAACTGGGGCCCAACAGATCTACAGACAAGCTCTAGACTAGGCAAGAAAGGATGAAGACGAAAAAACCCTGAGACGCAGAAAGGACAGACAGTTGACCCTTGAACTATGCAAGGGCTAGGGGCACTGGTCCCCACACAGTTGAAAACCCACCTTTAAGCTTTGACTCCCCAAAGGCTTAACTACTAACAGATTCCTGTTGACTGGAAGCCTTATGTATAACATACGCAGTCAAGTTGCACATATTTTCTATGTTTTATGCTATTATATACTGTATTACAATACGGTAAGCTACAAATCCCAGAAAGAAAATCCTAAGGAAGAGGAAATGCAGTTCCTCTTCACTGAATGGAAATGGATCACCATAAATGTCTTCATCCTCATGGTCTCCATGTTGAGTAGGCTGAGAAGGAGGAAGGAGAGCAAAGGTTGGTCTTGCCGTCTCAGGGTGGCAGAGGTGAAGGAAAATCCATATATAGGTGACCTACGCAGTGCAAAGTCAGCTGTACTTCATACCATAGAACAATTATTAAGAATAGGAATTCAATAGAACTAGGACTCAAAGGGAAAAGAATAAAAGAGGACTATAGAAATATGGAAGGGAATTTGGGGACCAAAAACAACATCGCTGTAAGGCTAACATGTGAACAGCACAGTACTGACATAGAAGGCTCAAAATAATCAAAGACTATAGTTCTTAAGATGAAAAAATTAAAGTAGCTAGACAGAATGTAATGAATACATAAGACAAACAATGATGACTACATCTCTGAACTGGGACATGAAGATTTAAGCCTATTGAGCTAGGGTGGGCACACTTTTTCTGTAAAGGGCCAGTGAATAACTTAGGCTTGAGGGCCACACTCATGCCACAACTCTGCCACTCTAGGCAAAAGCAGCCCCAGGCCAGGTGCAGTGGCTCATGCCTGTAATCCCACCACTTTGGGAGGCCGAGGCGAGTGGATCACCTGAGGTCAGGAGTTTGAAAACAGTCTGGCCAATATGGTGAAACTCTGTCTCTACTAAAAATACAAAAATTAGCCGGGCATGGTGGCAGGCACCTGTAGTCCCAGTTACTCAGGAGGCTGAGGCGGGAGAATCTCTTGAACCCTGGAGGCAGAGGTTGCAGTGAGCCAAGATTGTGCCATTGCACTCCACCTGGACAACAAAAGCAAAACTCTGTCTCAAAAAAAAAGCAGCCCCAGACCACATGGAATCCAATGGGCGGGGTTCCCAGAGAATTTTATTATAAATACAGGTAATGGGTTGAGTCTGACCTAAGGGCCATATTTCACCAACTCCGGTTCTAGATTTAAAGAGCGCACTAAATGCCCAGCAATGTGATATGGAAAAAGACCAAACTAAGACACATCAGCAAGACATTTCACGACATCAAAGATAAAGAAAAGTTTCGAAAAGCTTACAGAGAAAAACACAGTTCACATACAAATAAGAACGGCACTAGACTTCTCAGAAAAGCTGGCAGCGAGAAAACAAAGTTGTGATGTGAACATTCTCGGTGACCCCCAAGCTAGATTTTCACACCCAGCCAGGATATCAGGTAAAGCCACCGGCAGAGACACAATGAGTCCAAAAATTCACCCCACGTAGCTCAGGAAGTCATTAAAAAGGTGTCCATCCCCTGAAACCAAAACACAGGAGTAAGCTGAAGAGGACAAGAACAGGAGAGACAGCAGACAGGCGGCCGTGAGCCAGATCCACTTCACCTGGAGGAGGTTTCAGGGATCCAGGTCCCTAGAAGCCGGGCAAGGGAAACCCCAGGCTGTAAGCTGTCACGACCCTGACCCGGCATGAACATCACTGACAGTCGTGATATCAGCACAGATGACAGAACCAAATGCCAATGTGACCAGCAATGGTGAGATCTGGGAGGGGACACGGAGAAACACAAGGTAAACAGAACCCACGAGTGTCACCACAAGCTGTCACTCAGAAACATAGCTCTGCCACCAGGCGGGGGCCCTGAACCCCTTGTCCCTGCGGAGGGAGAAGGGTCACCAGGTGGCCCACTTGGGAGGTGCCCACCTAGAGACGCCTCTGCTCTGATATGGTAGGCGGGCACCCAGGCCTCCCCTGGATGAGTCGCTGAACCATCCCTGGGTGTCGAGTCGAGTCCTCCTCTGGGTGCTGGGCCCTGGGTGAGCGTCTCCTGGGCGTCTATCCCAAGTGGAATCTCCTGGGTGCCCGACCCTGAGTGCCAGTCGCTGGCCCACCCGCCCTTGAACTTCCACCCCATCCCGGCCCTCCCCTGGTGCCCACCTCCCACGCCTTCTGCAGGCCCCGGGCGCCCGCCTTTCCCCTGGGTGCCGGTCCCTGGCCACTCCCCTGGGTGCCCGCCCCCTAGCACCCTCCTAACACGCGCTCACCCGTACAAGATAACATCATAGAGCGTCCGGCCCTGCACGTTCAGGAAGTGGGCGTAGCCCGCGCGCGCAACAGGCGGGGCCCCCAGGGCCGCGGGACCCGGAAGCGGCAGTTCATTGGTCAGCAGCCCTAGCAGGAAGGGCGCCGCGTCGGGGCCGCGCACGCGCAGCAGGGTGCGCCCATCCAGCCGGAAGCAGGCCCAGGTCGCTGCGGCCGTTGGGTCGCCACCAGGACTGCGGAAGCTGTGGGCCAGGCGGCACCTTGGGGCCGCGCGCAGCCACCAGCACAAGGCCGGGCCGCCGCGCCCCGGAGCCGCGCCTCGAAGCAGCGCCGCGGCCGCCATCTTGGACAAGAGTGCGGCAGCGGGAAGGGCCCACGGAAGCAGGAGGGGCGGGTGCCACAGCGGCCCCTGGCGGCGGCCGCCGGAGGGAGGCGGGAAGGGGCGGGCGCAGAGTGCGTGCGTGCTTGAGGGGAGGAGCAGTGCGAGTCGGGGCCGACAGAGCGCGCGTGCGTGAGGAGCAGGTCCGCCCGGGCTGGAAGGGGCGGGCGGGGAGAGCGTGCCTGCTGGGTGGGTGGGGCATGCGTGGGGGGCGGAGCATCGTGCGCGGGGTGTGTTTCGGGGCGGGGGGCTCGACCTATCCGTGAGCACACAGGCTGCACCCTCGGCAGGTAACGAGATTTCTGCCCACCTCTTAAGCGCCTTCTTGTGTCCTATTCGGGGCATGTCTCGCTTTCACCCACCCGTGTCGGGCACCGCCACCCATCTCGAGAA